GAACACGTGGTCTTATTGAACGAACATATTAAGATACAAAATAATTGCGGAAAAAAATTAAAGGCAAATATAAGTTAAAAGAACAAAATAAAAATTTATAAGAGAAGATGACAAAAATATTGAATACTAGAGTAGAAAAAGAAAAAAGTTAAAGAAAAAACACAAAAAGAAAATACAAAAGATTTACATGTAAATAAATATAATTTATTTTCTATAAATCCATATAACTTTGAAAATTAATTTGTGCATGAGTTTATGAAGGCACACGCCTTTTTATTTTATTTTATTTTATTTTGTTGCCAAATTTCTTCTTTTTCTCTCTCCTTTTTTTTCCGTATATTTTTTTTTTGGATTTTGAGTTATCCACAAATTATTGTTCATATATTCTCTTTACACCATTAATTTTGAATTCAAACTGTGATATTAATCTCTTTAACTTTTAGTGGTTTTCATGCTTTCTATATATAGAATGTTGAAGGTATTATTTATTTGATAAAATTTTTTAAAAAAATTTAAATAACAACCTTTTATATATAGATAGATATTATATAAAATCGTACAACAAATAAATATGCCGTAATATTTCACTATTTTTAAAAACAAAACTTCAGTTGTCGGCTCGCTCCCGCAATCTCTCTCTTTGGAATCCACACGGAAAGAGATGATAACAGTAACATAACTACATCACACATAGTGATGACTCATTCATACTCTAAAAATGACATTTTTTTAAAGATTTACTAGCGTTGCTTAGTGTGAAAGTAAGGCAGGTGAGATAACCGAAAAAGGGGAAGCAAATTTGAGAGAATCTTCATCTTTTGGTTTCCGCTTGCTTTATAGGAAATGCAGCGTTTGAGCAATCGGTTTCTGCTGGCGGCGTTGCTGCTTGTGACGGCGGTGGCGGCGGTTGACGGGGACTGGAAGAGGTTTACATTGACTCTCGAGAGGGCGAGTCACGAAGGGCTTGAGCTGAGTCGACTCAGGGAACTCGACCGGGTCCGGCACGGCCGGTTCTTACAGCAGCAGCAGCAGCCTCCTGGGGTCGTTGATTTCCTTGTCGATGGCACCTACGATCCTTATCTTGTTGGGTATTTTTTTGTCTAATTTCTCTTCTAAAAAAAAAAAAAAGAAAAAGAGATACGAAAAATATTTGTATGGATGCAAGTAATATGCTAGTATCTCAAAAACTTAAGGTGAGAGCTGTACGAAAGGTGCTATATTTCTGGTAATTTGTCTTAATGATTTTTCGATAATTTTCATAATTATTTATTAACACTGTGTCTATACTTTGCTTAAATTTCCATTTTTGAGACTCTTTTATTTGATGGTTGGGCAATAATAACTTCCCCAAACGGAATTGATTCTTGGAATCTTGCCTTTTTATTGCATTCTTGATGATCCAAACTCTATAGTCCTTGCTGAGCTGATTAGTCATGTGTTAACAAACAGGCTATACTTCACAAGAGTCAAATTGGGAAATCCACCAAAGGAATTCTATGTACAGATTGATACTGGAAGTGATGTCCTCTGGGTCAGTTGTAGCTCCTGTTCTGGTTGCCCCACATCCAGTGGCCTCCAGGTAAAAATAAACAAAAAAATAATAAAATAAAATAAAATAATAATAGTATCTCCTTCTCTGGATTTTTTTTTTCAATGTTATTGAGTTTATTCTGGATTGTTTTATCAGATAGAGCTCGAGTTTTTCGATCCATCTGGGTCGTCGACCGCATCCGTAATCTCGTGTTCAAACCAACGATGTGCTTCGGGAGAACAAACTTCTGACTCCCTTTGTACAGATCAGAATCGCTGTGGGTACAGATTCCAATACGGTGATGGCAGTGGCACATCCGGGGTTTATCTATCAGACCAAATGTATCTTGACTCGGTGGTTGGAAACTCGTTGACTACGAATTCCTCGGCATCCATTGTTTTCGGGTGGGATTCCGATTAAAATCCGCCGATAAATGTGTTCAAAAGTATTGCTCCTGATTTAGATTCTACAACTTATGCACCAAATATTGTTTAGCTTCTTACGAAAGTAGATGCTTTCGGGAAAATTATAACTTGCAGGAAAGAATCTCTTGATGAGTTTTCTTAGTCTGTAAATAGGATGGGTTGCTTTTTTGGGTACAGATGTAGCACGTCGCAGACTGGAGATCTCACGAAGTCGGATAGGGCAGTTGATGGTATATTCGGGTTTGGTCAGCAGGGCATGTCTGTAATTTCTCAGCTGGCTTCACAAGGGATTGTCCCGAATGCATTCTCTCATTGCCTGAGAGGGGGAAATGGCGGCAGGGGTGGTATACTGGTGCTTGGTTTAATTGTGGAGCCAAATATAGTCTACACTCCCCTTGTTCCCTCACAGTATGTAAAATTTCTTGCTGGTCACTTTTGAGATTGTCCATGATTCTCATGCACTTTCTTTTTCTTTCCTCTTGGATAATAAGTTAAAATTCTGTTCTGTTACTGACTTGTTTAAATTTTGGGTATGAAGTATATATATATATACATTATTGTGATGAACTATAAGAGTTATGTGCAGCAGATTCTTTCAAAAATGTATTGCCCGGAATCTGAAATTGTAGAAAACATGTTTGTTCAAAATTCTGTTTTGTTAATTGATCTTTTAAATGTCAGGCATGATGCATACAGTATCGTGAGATTTGATGAACTGTAAGAGTAAATGCTGCAGATTCCTTAAAAAAAAAAAAAAAATAAAAAAAAAATATTGCCCAAAATATGATATTGCTAGAAAACGTGTTTGCGGGTCGATAGTGCTGGAGTATAAAGAACCGTCGCTGTATTTATTTATTCGCTTTTATGAAAGATGCATAGACACACTCACATCGGGTTTTCTTTCTCGTCTTTTTCCCAAAACCTTATTTCTGTAATTTTATGAACTTCTTCAAACTAGATAGCCATTTTACTTTGTGCAGGAGCACATAGTAGCATGTGAAGTAAAGAAATTCCTATGATAAGAGAAAGGGCAAGAAAACTTATTTCTGTTGTACAACGCAGAATGAAGAGGACTGAAGATATTCAACAAGTGATCCTTCAATGTTATACATATAAAAAACAAATAATAAGAATACATAGTGGATTTTGTTTCTAAGCATGTTTAACTTGTAAGATTTCAAGATTTGCTCTAACGCTATCTCATGACATAGACCGAATGGACTTTGTTTAATTCTCTAATCCTTTTCACGACATAGGCCCTTCTGATTTGGTTTAATTTTCTTAACCATGTTATTTTCTTCTCCCTTAGCAGGACACTTGATACTGAAAAAAAAGCCTAAAAACCGTTTCTTAATTTTCAGAGAATTTTTTGATTCTTGATCGTGAGTATCCCAAGGATGGCATCTTGGGAGCCTTTTGTTTGCGTATGTTGTGCATTTTCTATGTTTATCTCAAAAACTACTGCTTACAAACTTTCAGGCCCCATTACAATGTAGATCTGCAGAGCATTGCCATAAACGGGCAGATATTACCCATTGCATCATCAGTATTCGAAACATCGAGTAACACGGGAACAATAATTGATTCAGGAACAACATTAGCATACTTTTCTGAAGAGGCTTATGATCCTTTCATAAATGCAGTAAGTTTGATGAGTAACTCATAAGTTTTTCATATCTTTTTTATATTACCTGGTTACATCTGCCAGTATTGACTGACAATCTGACATTATATTTAATCTAAATCCAAGTTTTAGAATCTCTTTCCTGGCTGGCAGGTTGAGCAAACTGTTTCTCAGTCTATAAGCCCCACTCTCAACAGAGGAAACCAGTGTTATTTAACCACATCCAGGTTTCCAGTCGAGATGCACTTTTCCTGATTACATGTCTAGATTTGTTTATTTTTTTCTTAGTTTTCTGTTTGTTCGATGTTGTATTTAGTGTTTCCGATATTTTCCCTACGGTTAGTTTGAACTTTGCGGGTGGGGCATCCATGGTACTGAGACCCCAGGATTACCTTTTGCCGCAAAACTCTGTTGTAAGTTTCTTGAATTATAATTCCCTTTTCAGAAATTGTAATTTCTTTTGAACCTATGCAGTTAGGGTTTTGTATTCATTGTGTCTACTTTGGTAAAGTTTATTGGTTAACAAAAATATGTTAATCAGTTGGGTTAACTAACTTGTATTGAGCAGCAAATTATATTGGAATAGTGCAAGTGTTAGGTGTGCGTAACTACTTATAGTTAATGTACCATGTACTGTCTTGTGTAGGATGGTGCTACTGTGTGGTGCATTGGCATTCAGAAACTTCAGGGTCAAGGAATAACGATTTTAGGAGGTATAATTATATTATGGTATACCGTATATGATTTTATTTAAAAAATTAATTATTACCTTGTATCTAGGAATCATCTTTTCAATAAATAGCATCAATATGTTACGACACGAAAACTCAATTCGTATACCCTAAGAAAATTCTTATGTGAATTCAATTAAATTAGTGACGTACTCATTTAAGTTTCTTTGAATTTGGTATGTAGGTGTTGCAAATATATTCTGTGTATTCGTTCTGGCTGATCAAATATAGAGATATCACCTTTTTGGGTAATTTGTTTCCATCCTTCTGTGCAGATCTCATCTTGAAAGATAAAATTGTCGTATACGATTTGGCCAGTCAAAGGATTGGTTGGGCTAACTACGACTGTAAGTTTCTTTAGCACAACCCAAAATTTATTGTACAATTTCATGTCTTTGTATGCTGCTCGGTCACATCTATATGAAATCTTCATCTGCTATAGGTTCATTATCCGTGAACGTATCTACTACAAGCAATGGCAGAACTGAATTTGTGAACGCAGGACAAATTGACAGCAGCTCAGTCGGTCTCGAGCCATACAAGCTAATATCAAGTGTTGCCTCAGCTTTTTTGCTGCATTTACCATTTTTTGGTGTATTTCCATTTTTGTGATAAATATTGGACTTTCAAGATTTACCCTTCCCTGCCCAATATGGTTTGATAGCCATCTGCGGGTTATAGATGCTACACACTTTTTTTATTTGTATTGTTTTATTTTATATGTAGTGTTCAAGAACAATATATTTTTGTTGTTGACATAGAATACATTCAAATTTGTGGGATTTGTGTTGTATATAAAGATAAAAATATTACCTTGTTCGCCACTTGTATTAGTAAATATATTCCCCTGCCCACGGCAGGCAGTGCCCACTAATTTGTTTTATATGGAAAACGTATTATGAGAATACGTTTTTCAATTAAATTTTGTCTTTTTGACAAAAATGCTTTCCTCATTTTTAGTACAGTTGTATACAACATTATTTTCTTATTTATACCAATTTTTTTTATTGTTATTATGGTTTCCATATATAAATCAATAGTTCTACCGAATATATATACATTTTTTTTTTAATAATATGACAAATGCTTAAATTATATTAATGGGGGCTCTGCAAAAAGATGCTTAAGATAATTAAGGATTTGAATATCGTTTTTCCTCTGCAGGCAAACAAGATGCTCCAAACATTGGCCGCCTCCGCGGCCACCGTTACCAGATTGAATCACCATACAAGCCCACTACTCATGGTTATGAGTTGGATTTTACATCACGATCCTTCTTTCGGCGTTTGTTGTTTCGGATTTCGGCGTACGACCACAGTGCAGCGGCTTGAAAATAAGGGACCCCACAGTATATCCGTACTCTCAATTGAAAAGAACTCGCTTAAAAATAGTTCAACCCAATTGCGCAAATTTTTCTTGGATTCACAAAAATGCCGACTATTGTTTTCATGTCGCCTGCGACATTGGTAGTGTTGGGTTCTTTGTAACGCCCCGTTTTATTTTAAAGACTTTACCAAATTTATTTATAAAAATCAGAGTAAAATTTTTGCAAATCTCAAATTAAAACATATTTCTCAATCGGCGCTACTTAACTACCAAAAACAATTACACCTTAATCTCCTACCAAAAGAAAACTTCCCAAATCACTTTTACTTGCCCCTCAAGTTACTCTCTCTCTCTCTCTCTCTCTCTCTCTCTCTCTCTCTCTGGCACGTCTCCAAAAGAAAGGAAAACCGCGTTTCCTCTATCTTCTTCCCAACCAGATTTCTGATTTCCTCACGACTGCAAACCATCCCCACACAATTTTCCCTCCGCCGAACCCTTCCATCGCCGAGCACGCCATCGGTGCCAGCACTCGCCCTCGATCTCCATCTTTCTTCACGCGCACTTGGTCCTCCAGCCGAGCAGCAACCAGTTCCACCACACCATCGCAAGAAGGCCTGGCCGATTGTTGTCCCGTCGCGTGCTCATTCCCGCGCCAAGTTCCAATGAGTCCATTTTCCCAACGACCCTTTATCTAATCGTGCGCCCTCTTCGACGGACCTTCTAGTCCTGGAGATCACCAGCGTGAACCAACATGCTTCGACCACCGCTGCACATCTCCGAGCACCATAGTCGCAAGCACCTCCATCGTCGCAAGCCTTCTCGTTGTTCGCGAGCCCCGGCAAGTTCTAGGCCCCGTTCGTCGTGCCGTCTGTTTTCACGACCGCATCCCACTCCCGTTCATTGCTTGTTGTTCGTGGGTTGTCACCACGATCATCGCTGCCCCACGCTGCTGTTTCAGGCCCCCGAACTCGTTGTCTAGGCCCCGAGTCGAAACGCGCGACCCCGTCGGCGAGTCAAGCTGTAACGCTCCACTTTTATTTAATGAAACTCCATGGCTTTTTAGAAAAATCAATTTAATTTTTCAAATTCATTTCAAACATTTGTGGCGTTACTCATTTATTTTCAAAACATTAACACATATATCATTATACTTAGTCATAGTAATGACATCAAAACATATTCCAACACCTTATCAAAGGTTTCATCCCAAGTCATTATTACCCAAATCGGGTTTCTAAATTTTTAAAATAAAGACATAATAGTGTCAACGGGGCATCTCTCCTAAAAATGTTTCAAAACATAAATATCCAAAGTTCATAAATATCCCAAGTCATATATCATAAATAAACCCAAAAGCGGAAGCAATACAATCAATGGTCTAGTCCTCTAGACCGACCACCACTCACCCTGCCTCACCGTGCCCGCAACCTGCTTAACCTGCATCCGTGAAGAGTAGGTGGGGGTGAGCACAATATGGAATCCGTATGTTTGTGTCATTTTGTTTGCGCTTTTCGTTATTCTTTTCCCTTTCTTTTCCCCCCATTTTGAGTCTTTTTGTTTGTTTTTAGTTTGTTTTGTGTTTTGTTCTGTGTTTATCTCTATTTTGAGTCATTTAAGTACTTTTGTTCGTTTTTCGGTCGTTTTCCAGTTTTTCCTTGTTGTTGGTGTGCAGGGTGTAAGACTCAGGAGGATTTGATATTCATGATAAATAGACCGAGCGAGTATGGTTAAAGAGAGCGTTTCGTTGGGAGAACAACGGAAAAAACAGAATCAGATTCCGAGCCCAAACGAGTGTATACGAGCCAAAAATGTAAGTTCGTGTGATATGATGCCCAGGCACTGCGCCGCGATACACTAACGCGTGCTGCTACCTGCCTCCCCGCGCCGTGCTTGCACCACGTCACCAACAAACGGTTCCCAAGGTCCCAGCTCTCTGCGCTGCGACGCTCCCACGACATCAATAGAGCAGCCTTCATTTCCTGCAGCGTCGCGATGCATGGCGCGCCGTGATGAGTCCGCCTGCCGCGCCGTGCCGGTGTGCCGCGCCGCGGCACCAGCTGTTTCTACTCCCAGCAATCAGACGCTCCACGCTGCGCCCACCTTCACGCCGTGCTGCCCATTCTGCCGCGACGCTCACGCCCAGATTAAGCCCTGCCGCGCCGCGCATGTCTCCACGCCGTGAAGGAGCTGTTCGCTGCGCCGTGACGGGCCACCGCACCGCGACGCCTGGTAGTGGCATGTCGTGATGAGTCCTTGCCACGCCGAGACCTGCGTTGATATAAATATGAGATCGGGAATTAGTCGAGGAGGTTTTTTTCTACGCGACAAAACACCGAAACCCTATTCTCTCTTATTTTTCATTGTTCTATCATAATATTAACCATAGAACAAGGATTTAATCTTGGATTTTGCTTTTTCTTTCGGATTCAAGCTTTTTTATCGGATTCAACGTTGGGATTTGTCAATCGTAAGATTCTCTTTTAATTTTATCGTTAATTATGAATTCTTCGATTTTCATGAATGCTTGTGTTGATTCAATTATGAGTAGCTAAATTCACATGCTAGGGAATAGGGGATTGAAGTTTTGAATTTGTTTGCGTTTATCATGTTCGTGATTGTTCAATTTATGTGAGTGGTCTTTTCTTAGGGTTTTTCGATTATTTAGCTTGAGTTTTGAGAATTGTTGAAGGGTGACACTTCAACTTGCAATTGTTTGATTGAATTTGATAAATTCGTGCTTAATGATTTAAATTCTCTTCGGGCTAGTTGATTAACCACCTTCTAGTCCTTTTTAATCGACTCTTAGAACCGAAAGGACAAGAGTCGGTGGAAATAGGCTCGTATAAACTAGGCTTGTTTGTAATTGTATTGCCTAGGTGTTAAATGACTTGTTAACTTGCCGTTTAAGTTTATTCTCTTGTTACGAATAGTTATTGAGAATGAGTACTTGAACGTGCCGGTTATTCAAATCTCTTAACCGAACAATCTCTTGCTTGATAATCGCATTTCGAACTGAAACGGTGTTGACGAGCGTTTTCGGTCAACGATTAAGATTGGAAATATTGAAAGTGCAGGACTAGAAATAAAAGAAAGATACGGTTTAATTACGATTTTATTAAATGATCACGAGGTCGGCCTCTCGTACGAGATCGACACTTATGATGTACTTACAATTCTTTCAAAGGACTTCTTACAATTTTAAGAGAGAGAAAGTAGGAGTAAACTTAAGTTAGTTGAGGATTCAACAATCCCAAAATAAATGAGGTGAGCTGCTATTTATAGTACTCTTAAATGGGGTACTGTTCACCTGTCTTGTCGCACAGTAGGTTTGCAGAGCAGTTCGACGCCTCGCTGACAGTTCATTAATGCGATTTGAGGTTTCTCAAATCATTGCTTGCTAGGCATTTAATGCAAGCATGGGTAGCATTTAATGCTGATTAAACGACTGTGACAGGCCGTCCCATCAACGACTGATGACCTCCCAAGTGGCGAATATTTTAATAGCGACCGGATCAGCGCTATCCTTTGGCAGGGCGGCTCTAGCTTATTCAGATCGGCACCTTCGCTCTGAAGGTCCGCGCGGTCCGGGTGAGCCTTTCTCCAGTTCGGTACCGGGGTGAGATCGGCCCGGCCCCCCCGAGTCCGGGTGCCGGGCTCGGGAAGCATTTTCTTCAACCCGTACTGCATATAATTCCTCGACTCAGGTCGGCTCCTGCGATCCTGATCGGCTCGGCGCTTTTTAAGAATTCGGTCCTACACAGCTCATGGGGCCGACCCGTTTGGTCCTGACCCGACCGATCCGGATGTCAATATACAGGCCCCCGAGCTTCGAGGTGAGTTCCGCGACGTCTCCTCTGAGGTCGTCACTTTAGGCAGCCTGGATCGGCCCTTCCGCTACACTTAGCGTGTGTAAGATTGATCTCATGGCCGACATTAATGACGTCAGCTGAAGGGACGTGTACTTAATGCGACCTGACGGTTGCTTTCCTGTCGGTTACGAAAAGTCGTGCAGCTTTTATCGTGGCCTACGTGGCAGACACGTGTCGTTGCCCCATTAAATTCCCAGAAGGTCGTGCGCGTCGGTTGGCGGCGGTTTCGCCTTTTCAAATTTTTGAATTTTGAATTCCTTACACGTGGCTGAATCTGATTGGGACCAAATCCTTATAAATAGAACCCCTCGGTCACTGTTTCTTCTTCTTCTTCTTCTTCTTCTTCTTCTTACCTACACAAATCCGATTTTCTTTGGCTTTTCGAGGAAGAGACTTTCAAGTAGTTTTTTGGTCGGACTTTTCTTTTCTTCATGGTAATTTCTTCAATTTTTTACCCATCTCTTACTTTCTTTTTCGGTTATGTCTTCGCCTTCCAAACCCGGATCTGGTGCCGGCGCGTCCGGGGGGGATTCCGGCTCTTTCGGTGACTCGTCTCCGCCTGCGACGAGCAAGCTTATGCTTTATTCTCCGATGTCAGCCGAGAGGGCTTTGGCCGAGGCGGTGCCGATTTCTATGGTTTGCCCGAGTTCTCCTCCCGCCGATCCGAACCCAGGCGAGGGTCACGACGTCGAGCCGGATTTAAATCGGACCGCGGGGGCATGCGATGAGGCGGACGTGAACATCGACTTCCTTAAATCCGACTCGGACGTCGATCAAGATTTAGTTGACGAAACTCTCCGCGGCGACACGGAGGGTCGAGAGAGAGTGCCGATGGGCCGCGGTGACGAAGCCACCGATGCCGGGATCGAGGCAGCTACTTCTGTTCCTCCGGGTTTTTGGCGCCGCCCTCCTCGAGTCTGGGGGACCCACAGTGATTCTATGGCCTGGTTCATGGCCTCGGCAATAGACGATGCCGATTTGGTCCAGTTGCGAGGCAAGCATAATTTCGGCCCGGGAGTTCACCTATTTGCGCCCTACCCCGGGGAGCGGATCCATTGCCCGACGCCGGGATGTATTGGGGTTTACCGAGATAGCATTCGCCTCGGGCTTCGGTTTCCTCTGGCGGGGGCGCTTAG